CGATGCACTCAAAATGAGGGTGCGTTATGTTCGGGGGAAGACGGTAGGATCCTCGCACTCCCTTCTCCATTGCTTCGATAGTCCTCTGAGAAGTCCTTAACCTGTCTGTTGCGTTTCTTTCAGTCCTCTTTCGTATCATGCAACCACTTGTGGAGCAATCTTCATCAACTCTTCGCTTGTGAACCATCTTCCCTCCTTGGGATCAACATGCCAACATGGTGCCTGAACCGCACACGGTATTGCATCGGCGGTTTCAGCAGTTGACCCCTACCTGGAGGCTCAGGAACAGGCATCATTCTATGCTCGATAATATCGTCGATGTCAACGTGTCCATCCATGGTTGGGGGCAGCATGTGGTTGGGGGCAGCATGGATCTTCTTGTAGGAAACTGGTCTGTCTCAGCAAACGGTGCAAGTTTGGAGGCATGGAAAACAAGATGTGTGCAGCTCCCCACCAATAGAATGGAGTCCCCTGCATGACAAGTAGGAGTGTATGCTCTTATCATCACTCCTCTCTGTTGAGGCGGGTGCTTGTGTGCGTAAGTGCCCAGGGATTCGAATGACATACGAGGGTCCATCCGGATCATCTCCCACTATATCCAAAAACTTCCCATAGTCCGAAGTACTGTGGCATACGCTTCCGAGATATGCCAAGTTCCTGTCCCAACTCAGACGACTTGACCCAGACTCTATCCCCTGCCTGAAAGCTAGACGGTCGTCATATGCAACCATGGCACGGTTGCATCTTGGAATTTCCGAATTTGTTCAACAGCTGCAGCATCTTATCATATTTGACAACGAACTCCATGCTCCCAGGTGCTGCTGTTGGCTGATTTTCAGGCAACAGAAAGTCGAGAGCGGGATGGGGCTTCCAACCAAGATGCAGCCGGTTGGGAGTCATGCCGGTAGTGCTGTGTACAGCGTTGTTGTACAGGCTGGCAATGAGAGGTAACTTCTCATCCCAGTCATCCTGGCTCGGTTTGATGTACTACCGAAGCAACTGCTGCACCACACAGTTCATGTGTTCCGCTTGGCTGTTTTACTCAGGATGGTTTCCTTACATCATCTGCAGTTGGGTGCCCACCTGCTTGCCCGCATTCTGCCACACTTCACTCATGAAACGGAGGTCTACACCACTAACAATAGACTTTGAAAGCCCAAAATCCCGTACCCAATTGTCCATGAACAACTTGATAACTTGGTCAGTTTTAGTGGTCTCTGGCATAGCGATCAGTCTATTGTATTTACGAAATCTGTCCACGATGACAAAGATGTGCCGCTTGCCATTCTAGCTAGTCATGAGGGTGTCCATGAAATCCATGGACACTCTGCCCRGGGCCAGCAGGAATAGACAAGGGCTTGATAAACCCAAGAGGTGCTTGCGTCCTTGGTTTGTCACATTGGCAAACCTGGCATGTCTCTACGTACTTCTTAGCATCATCTATCATCGAGGGCCACCAAAAGCATTGCACTAGATTAGCTATAGTCTTCTTGAAACCAAAGTGACCGGTTGTGTCATGACACTCAGGAGCCCCCCATCAATCCTCTTTTACCTCACTCCGGCAAGACTTACTGCAACAGAGCCACCATCTCCGTTGCTGCTGTACCCTATTTCCATCCTACCAGCTAGCCCCCGCACTAGTAGGACGCTTGATATCCCACCATCTATTTCTCCCACTCACCTAAAAGACTCGAACACCCCCAATCCGTCCCCTGTACCCCACTCCAGCAAGACTTGCTGCAGCAGAGCCACCATCTTCGCTGCTGCTGTACCCTATTCCCGTCCTACCAGCTAGCTCCCTTACTAGTAGGACGCGTAATATCCCACCTTCTCCTTAGCCAACTCACCTCGGTCTCTTGAGAAAACGTCTGAGCAGTACGAAAAACATGGGAATAGACCTCATAGGTCCTACAAATGCTCAAAAACCCTTGAAATCCCTCACAAACCCTTCCAAAGCACTCCAACACTGTCCTACTCCCTACCGAGCTCTTCCAGGTCTTACACCCCTACATCCTGCTGCGTTACAGGGCAACACAACTCACCCCAGCTCCGTCCAACGTTGTCCCAGCAGCAACCCTTAGTTGTCTCGTGGGATGCCCACCCCCAAAGCATCCCCAAATCTCTTTACCAGGCCTTACGCTCCTGCATCAGCAGGTCAGAGGGCAACACCCCAGCACCGGCCAGCGTTGTTCTGGCATTGAACAGCCGCAGGTCACTGAGTATAACAGCATCGGAGCCACCTGAGAAGAGTTGCTAGGAATCCCCAGAGTCCAAAAACATTCTTTGACCACCAATCAGCCTTTTTTTTTTCTTTCATGAAACCAATAAAAGCAGACTTCAACTATTCATCTTTCTTCGACGAGCCGACCTCCTCCACCATATAGTTCGAAGAAGAAGAATAGAAGTAATCCGCCAAAAGACTTTTGGGTAAATTTTACGAGCCAGAGACAATCAACAGAACCAACTTCCCTTCAACCTCCTACTCTTCTTCATCCCTCGACGAGCCGACCTCCTCCACCACGTAGTTCGCGAGATGAAAACAACACCCACAACCACACACCTTCCACAATGCATTCCTCCTCTTACGACAAGCCGACCTCCTCCACCCATAGTTCGCAAGAGGAGAAATAGTAGAAATCAGGTGAACACCCTCGCCCTAATAAATGCAGCACTACACCTCCTCAAAACACCTGGCTCATAAAACGTAGGCAAGCAACTCAAAAATCAAAAGGTTATGAAAACCAAGTAGTCATATAAGGCATGTTAATCCCACAAGAAGAGAGGACGAAAGGGAAGTTCTTCTTTCCCCATGTAAACTCCTGTGCCTATTCCCGTCTCTACTGAAGGTAAAGGCTCACAAGAACCGAGTGACTTACTCCCCCCCCACACAAAACGACCTCTTGCCCTTTCACTGCCTCCACTGGAAGGTGCCCCCTCACCTTCCAGCCCCAGTTCAGAGCAGCCCCCTAAATCCCTCCTGCTTCCTGAGCAGCATACAATGCCTCCTAGAGTATGCCCTTGCAGAGCCAAAGATCACCCTTCCCTCATGTCCCACCCCCTCCAAGTGAAACACCTCGCAACCTCTCACCTTGCTGAAGCCAGCAT